GGCAAGCGCAAGGGCCCGAGTTCAAGCTAGTAGGAAGGCTAAGGCAGGAAAACTGCAAGTTTGAGGCCAGCCTGAGTAACTTAATGAAAATTTCTCAAAATAAAAAGCAAAAAGGGCTGGGCTCTAGCTCAGTGGTAACCCAGCCCTGCATTTGGCTGGGGGCAGAGAAAGAGCAAGAAGGCTGTCGTTGAGGCCTCCCCTCCTGCATCTAACGCAGAGCGGGTCGCTGCCGCTATCACAGGGCCATGCGTGGTGCCCAAGAGGTCTGCCTCTCTGGGATGTAGCTCCAGGCAGGCACTTGCCTACTAGGCGTGAGGCCCTGGGGGAATCCCAGCACCATGCACACACAAGGGCTCTGAAGTGGTACAACGCTGCGGGCGGCACAGGGCTCAGAGGCAAGGGCCTGAGTTCAATTCCTGGTTCCGCAAAAAAAAAAAAGTCCATGTCCTTTCCATTCTGTGGGTAACTGGACTGGCAGGCACAGCAAGCCAGAGAGCCAGCAGTAGGAACCAAGCAGAGGCCTCGCAGCACACCTAGGGCTGCATCATGCAAGGACAGGTGGGAAAAAAGCTGCTCAGCCGACAGCTTTCCAGGAGGGACCCCGGTCTCCAGTGTGGCCTCACAGGCAGGGCCATGTGCGGAAGCAACAGCTTCAGAAGGCGCTGTGTGGACCTACGACGCTCCTCACACCCACTCCACAGCTGACCAGCCCCAGAGTGGCTATCCTCACAGGAGCCCTCTCTGTCAGGCAGAGCCCAGACAGGGTTCGCCGGGTCTGTGTACTTCAACCCAGGGCCTGGATCTTTTGCCTATCATTTGTAGAAACCAAGAAGCTCCTTTCCGGCCAGCAGTCTACACGGTGCTTCAAGCTCTCTGCAGTGTTCCTGACCTCTTCTACTACAAAAAACCATAGCAGTGGTCCCCTGTGTCACGTGGCCAAACCACTGGCCCTGTCTCCACCCTGTTCCAAAGGCTTGCTAAGCAATGGTTGTACCAAACTCAGAGAATCCCTCCAGTACAACTCAAAAAGTACATCTATCAAAACCCAAAAGAGGGACCAGGGAAATGGCTCCGTGGAATAAGCGCTTCCCTGGCAAGCACAAGGGCCTGAGTTCAAGCCCCAGTTCCAAAAAAAACCCATAAGTGCTGCTGAAAAACACTGTCTCAACTTTCTATGGAGAAGGTGGACGGGGTACCTCAGGCCTATATAATCCCAGCACTCCTGAGGTTGAGGTGGGAGGATCAAAGCAAAAAAAGTTCAAGGCCAGCCTGAGTTATACTGTGACTTGAAGACCAGCCTGAACTACACAGCAAGACTCTGTCTGGGAAAAAAAAAAAAAAAAAACTTTTTCTGCTTACAAATACCTGATAAGGGCCAGCAAGATAGCTCGGGGCCGGAGAGATGGCTCAGTGGAATAAGCAATGGCCTGGCAAACACAAGGGCCTGAGTTCAATCCTGGTTCCGCCAAATAGCTCAGCAGACTGTTTGATTGGGGTCCACATGCCACACCTGGTCCTCCCCCTTCCCCTCCCCCACACTCACCCTCAGGGGGCAACCGAGTCCAGGTGTGGTGGGTGGTGCACACCTATAATCC